TTAGCTGTAGAGGGCAGTGTCACTGGCCCTCATATGTGGGATCCGAACTGGGGCCCTCTGGTGTCCCAAGCCAGCTCTTAACCAACGCGCCACTCGGCCGGTCCCCCCACATTTCTTTTGGTTAATGTCATATTCGCCATTCACCTCTCAAAATAGACTGTATTTAGCTATTTACAGAGAGTAGACGTTGTTTTCTAACAACAAACAAATGGCATAGGGACCATGAGAGCACTGCTCTCATCTATGGGGCACCACTGGCTTCTCCGGGCACTGCTGCCTGCCCCTGGGCACCATTGCCTGCACCGAGGTACTGCTGGTCCTTGGTCTGGGCATCACCCTGACACTGCCCTCTGCTGCCCAGCTGATGCCATGGCCATACCCAGGGCCATACCAAGTTCTGTCCAGACTGTGGGAGAAGATCTCTTTACTCTGCTGTGTTAGAGGTTGCCAGTGGGCGTCAAAACAGAAATGCCTGAACTTCCTGCGGTCCTTCCTCACAGTCCCTCTTTAATTCTATCTCCTAATAAGACTGAGAAAGTGAGTGCAATGCAGGGCCAGGTCGGGAGGCAGGTCTGAGTGGCAGACACTATTTTGTTGTTCCCTTTGACTATGGAGGAGGCTTCAGCATCAGGCAGGCCTGTCGGCCTTGGCTCCATTCCAAGGCGGTGCAGTTCCACCCTAGACAGCTCCCCACCCCTCCTGCAGATGGTTTCCTGGTGATCGGTCCCCCCAGCCTGCAGACATGCAGCAACACAGCCTAGGAGGAGGCAGAGGTTCTAGGACCACACAAGACCTACTAGCTATCTATGTAACTATCCCATCCAATTTAGGAGGCAGGGCTCCAACTTTTAGAAGCTGTGGGATATTTACATTGGAAAAGAAAAATCAAAGCATGTTGATCAAGTGTCTAAGTTTAATATTGATGTAAATCAAATGGGAATACAACAAAATGTATATTGGCATGTCATTCATGATCCATGTTGTTAACAGAAATAAATCTTAAGGGCAAATTTTAGGATAATGAGGTTGAGAATAGAGACTAGGAAATGGCGTTTTCCTTTTTATTGTCTCTCATCTGTGCCACCAGGGTATGACTATAGGTAATTTTTTAAGTGCAAACACTCACGCTGCTTTGTGGATGACTCCAGGTTTCTGATGGGGGAAACCCCCCACTGTGGAGTGAAATAAGGACCATGGCGGTGTCGGGGTAGTGAGAGCAGCACAGGATATGGACCCTGGTTGGAATTCCACCTTTACCACTTCCCTGCTGTGCAAATCCCTACACAAAACTGGCATTATAAAAGACTGAGAAAGAGCAAGTTGGACTATGGGGATTTCTGATAGAATGTTCTTTTGGTCTGTATTTGATCTATTATTTGTAAGTGTTTTCATTTTTATTGAAATACCCATACTTTTCAATTAAAAATTCCTATTTGATTCTTTGTTAACTTGACCTCTCCCTGCCCCCTGAACCCTGATTTGTTTTGTGTTTTCCATGAATAATATGGCTAAATTTAATTTGTTAGTTGGGCAGGCACTGAGCAGAATAGCACCTAGAGAAAGGACTATGAAAGGCGTTGAGAAGCAGGCTGCCCTTAGAAAGGCCAGCTGAGTTTGGCACTGCCCTGAAAAAGCCCCTGTGAGTTGCTCAGGGACAGGACTCCGGGTTTGCCAGGATTTCTTACCATTCCTTGGTCACAGTCCATACTTCTCCACCACTTAACTTTGCCAACATAATCCTTCTAACCAGACAGTCATACTCATTTCTACCTGTCCGAATCTTGCCATCCTTTCAGGGTCGAATTCAAAATGTGTCCTCACCCATGATGCCTTCTTCCCTCTCCCCTGTGCACTCTCAGCTGGGAATGAGTCTCCCCTTCTCCTGTGAATATCTATAGCATGTGGTTCCTCTCATGTACCACCTATGATTAACAGGCCGGCTACATGATTTCATGGCTCCATATAAAATGAAAACGCAGGGCCCTTGTTCAACAATTGTTAAGAATTTCAAGTTGGCCTCTGAGCAATAGGATCGCTGGTTCGATTCCCAGCTCAAGCTGAGCTGCCAACAGGTGGCTCAGCCAAAAAAAAAAAAAAAAAAAAAGAATTTCAAGTTGGCTGCAGCAGAGCATTACACTGGTACCACTGCACAGGACACATTCCACGTGATTACACTGGGACATTTCAGGGGGAACTAGGAGGCACACGGGCAAATGCAATCATTTAAAAGCCCAATCATAAAACCCCTTTCCAGGGAACCTCCTGAATTGCCCGCCTTCCTGCACCTGGTTAGCGCTCCAGCACCTGCAAGCCTGGTTCTCCATCTCACCGGCACTTAGCTGAGGGTTCTCCTCCATGAGCTCCCCACCTGGCCTATGCCTACTGCCTCTTATCCCTGAGACCTGCCTCACTGATTTGCTTGGGTTGGCCACTAGCACAAGGAACAGGGAAGAATCTATTGGTTATTTTCCACAATACCATTACCTCCCTTTCTCTCTCTGTTCCCTCCTGTAGCCAGAACTTGCCAGAATTGTTGTATGCAATCCCCTGCCTATTGCTTGCAACCTCTCTTTGCCAGCATGTTGGTGCAAAAACAATGCAGTTGCACTCTTCCACCTGTTCTATTTCTTCTCTCTGACTAAGTGGTAATATAGATGCTTACTTGATGACAGGAATGTTAAGTGCACGATCTCCTTTAATGCTCTTAACATTGAAGTATGCACTGCTATTATTATGCTTTATACAGATGAGCAAATCATCTCAGAGAGGTTAAATAACTTGCTAAAGATGATAAAGTTAAGGCGCATTTACTCTTAGCTACTGGGCTATGTTGCCTCTGAACAGGCTAACTGAAGGCAAAGACTATCTTAATCACCTTGTATTCCCCATGGCACCTCTTTGTGCTTTCAGTACTAGTGTATTACTGGGGTTATTAAGAATTCCCATTTATTGAGCACTCGCTGTGTGCCAGGCTCTACATTGAGCATTTGCAAATGTTATCTCATTAAATCCTCAACACATCTCTACTAGCCAGGTTTTGTTGCCCATATTTGACAAATGAAGAAACTAAGGCTTCACAAAATTAAATCTCTAGGTCACATAGCTAGTAAATAGTGGCACCTGGTCTGTTCCAACTCCAGATGCAGGGTTCCTAATCAAGCTAAGCTGCTCCCACGCCCTTGCCCTCCACCCATGTGGCCCCTCTTCATTCATCTCACTCATCCTCACCTTCCTGCTGTGTCCGTCCTCCCACCGCCTCAGTCTCCATTAGAATCTGAGTTCTGGAGGCTTAGTTTTGGCTTAAGCCATTGAATGATTTGGCTGCCTATTGCACAATCCCAGCCCAGAAGGAAAGTTGCCCACATTACCTGCCCTGGCCCTATGATCACCACCTTCTCATTTTAACTTGTCACCTTCTGATGTCCTACCTAACAAGAACACCAGAAACATCCTTAGGTGTTTTCTAGAGATCAGACAGCAAGCAGTGAAGAAATGCTACCCACTGAGAGCCTTGATGAATCCAAGCAGAATGAATTCTTGGTACCCTCTTACAGGTCTTCCACTAGCCTCATATATTTTCCCTCTCAACATTCAAGAAGCCTAATCAAGGCAATCTATGGAGAAGAATGACCTTTTTGTTGGTTGGTTTAACTGTTAATTCTTTTAAGGGTCCAGATAAATCTCTGGAAACCAGGAGAAATCCCCCTGTTCTACAGGTAGCAAGTGGCCTGCCTCCTCTCCTAGCGATTATTGAATTGTCCTTCACTGTGCGCATGGGTGCATGCACAAGAGCATGTGCCCTCAGACAGCTATGTAATCCACTTGACGCCTAATTACAAAATGATTTGTCTTATTTTTTAACCATTGGTGCCAGTCTTGCCTATTGAATAAGATGATTAGGTGGCCTCAAAACTAAGTTACCTGAGAAGTAACTGAAGGAATAGAAATGATAGAAGTCAGATAAGGGTGGCAGGATACAACATGGATGTCTCTAAATACCTAAAGCCCTACTTATAGAGCAGGAAATTGATTTAGTCTGTGTAGTTCTTAAAGGAGAATCTGAATCCATTGGAGAGGTTGCGATGTAGGCTGGTGTTGACTTGATATGAAGGAAACTAGTAACTTCCTAGTTACTAGAGTGATTCAACAATAGAATAGGCTACCAGGATGATGGAGAGATTCCTATATGTGAACATCCTCAACCAGACACCAGACACTGAAGGGAGGCTCTGAGTTGAGTGGAAGGCTGGCCGAGAGCCCCTCAGTGATCATGTATGAGGCTCAGTCTGTGCTGAGTAGGAGGCATGTGCTGAAGAAACAAGACTGAAAATGACATAGACACTTCTGTCCTCTGAGAACCTTTCTAACTTAGGGATTGTGTTCCTTTGGTTCCTCTGGATTCAATGTAGGCTGAGGGCAGGAACCACAGCTTACACGTCCCCTGTGTGCTCATAATAGCTAAACACAGTGCTATGGAGCCAGACTCAACAGTAAGCATCTAGAAGACAAGAATTATACCTTCCATTTGTGAATCTTTAGCACCTAGCAAAATGTAAGAAATTAATTTTGAATTAATAAATGTATGTCCAGAGAATACTCAATACAAGTCAATAAATGGATCCACATAATCTACAATATTGACCCACTATTGAAAGGACCCATCCCAACCCCAGTAATCTACATGATGGATAAACAAGTGTCCAAATTTACTAAGGTTCAATGAGTTACTTGACTCCAGTGGCCTCATCATAATCATGCGACTCTTGGACAATAAGGCCACCACTCTTCTGAATATCTGTCTCTGTGTCCAAGGGGCTTAGCAAGCAGACCATGGGGCTCATGATAAGATGATAGTTTCACCTCTCATCTTCCTTCTTGTCTGAAGAGTGCCACTAACCTGCTTTTGAAGATATTAAAAGTTAATGACAGAAACCAGCAGGAGTAATGGATGTGATTCTCTGGAAAACATTTAACCAGAAATAATGTAATCATTTATCTATTATTTACCTTCAAACCCTGAGGTAGAGATAATTTCAACACCAGTTGAGTCATCACTGAAGTCAACAGGTAAAGGTCTCTTCTGCAAAATTGATTTCCAAGTATTTTCCACTGACTGAAATTATATGGGTGAACTAATTTTTTACTATTTTAATTTTTAACCAAACTCAACACATTTTTTTATTTCTTTTGCATTTCTTCAAATAATACTTATTTCCTATTGTTAAAGAATAACAATTTGCTTGCTTTTAGGCAGTGCTCAGCAGCCAGCTTCCTTAGCACTCTTTAGGCCTTATGTTCTCTTAGTTTGGGGTTAACAGAAAAAAAATGATTGGGCTAAATCAAGGTTCCACCTTTGTGTGATATGGTCAAGTTTCAGAACCTGTCTGAGTCTCTGCTTCTTCTCCTATAAAGGACAGAAGATGAGAATAGGACAGCTGCCATGGAGTTATGAGAATTAAAGCACCATAACTTTTACAAAATAGGAATCAATAACATTAGCTATGATGATGATGTTTTCCTGAGGAGGAGCTGTTCCAGCCTCAGCAATCTCCCCATGCTTTCTTTAACCCTAAAATGATTCTTTCTTTTGAGAAACAACGTTGAATGGGTGTTGAGGTCACACTAAACAGTATATAGTAGGAAGTCTTCTTCCAAAGAAAAGAGACTGGAAGGTTTCTCATAGTTTCTTATGTGATAATGAAAAGCTTACTGCAAGGACCACTGTATTCTTGAGGCCAGTTTCACACCAGATCACCAGAACTAATGGTAAAAGAACTTCTCTTGAAAGAGTAGAAAGACTTGATGAAATACAAACTTTTTCTATTCTGGGTTTAAATTATGCCTCTTCCCCACAGCTGGGTCTAAGATAAGGCAAGGGAGAGGCTAAAGGCACAATATTTAGGGGGGTGGGACCCTACGAATGAGTCCTTCTTAAATTTTGCACCTTCACCCTCTCCTTTGCCCCAACCTAGCCCAGGCCCCACTTTTCCCCATTTATTCCCTCAAATGGGTTTCTTTTCAGGGTTTGGATTTTTAGAGCCATGTCATGGTTATGAGAACAGGATTGGGGGAAAGCTTGCAGAGCCCTTTCTTTGCCCAAAGAAAGGAAGGAATACCACCGCTCACTGTGGTTTAGTCATTTTTACCACAGTATGCTCAGGCCCATGTCTCCTAACTTCGGTGCGTTGGCACTGAGTACAAAGGACTCTTCCAAATTAGTTTCAGGGCTACTGGTACTAAATTAACCTTCACAAGAAACCTGATGGGTCCTGGGACAAGGCTAACTTACATTCCATTAAGTGATGCTTTACATTGGAGAAATAAATCCCAATCTGTCTCCACAGGATAAACATTATAATTTTGTATAACTTACATACAGTTTGTGGGTAATCAGATGTCGCTGGACCAAGTGAGTCAAGGTGAGCTCCTTCAGGGCAGATGATGTCTTCTCATTACTCTGCGCCCAGGCACCTGGTGTCACAGATAATAGGTGTTCAATAAATGCCCATATGAATGAAGAAACACCAGGTATATCGGAAATTAATTCTTGGCCTCTCGGGGCCTAGGCCCTTTAAGTACTAGGAAGGGCAGAGCCAGGAGTCTGGCCCAATGATTTAAACACCAACCACTGCCACTTCCTCCCTGCGAAAACCAATTGTTCCCCTGGCTTTTGCTGACGTGCACTTGTTCATGTTCTGTTTTGTGAGAGGCTGGGTTTCTAGCTCTTACCTCAGCTCTCACTGCCTGATGCGATAATTCACCCCCTTCTAGCTCTATCCTTCCCCTGTCAGACCTGTGTCTGCTGGCAGGGACTTGGCAGGAACAGCCTTGGCAACTCTGACCCTGAGTTTCCCGTGATCCTTCTTGCCCTGCCTCCTGACTGGCATCTGTAAAGGCTGAATGCTGCTTTGCAACAGTTTGAATGCATTGCTGCTATAGTGGAGAGCTCTACTAACAAACTCAGAGACCTGGCGCCATCCTTAGCTGCCATCTTGAGGTCTCCACCATCAGCAGCAGCACACACATGGGGGCGCCACCCAGCAAGTGCTGCCCAGCGCCTTGCTGCCATCTCCTGGAGGTGGTTGGTCTTCTTCTGCCCTTTAGACCTTTAGGTCTGCTCTCCTCAACCTGCTCTAACAAGCTCCTGATATTCTCCAAACACTATCAGACAGTGTGAACGGAAAGAGTATTGTTTTAATGCAGTGATGTGGGCCTCATAGAAAATTGCATAGATAAGTAATTAAAATAATAAGACAAAGGACCAGAAATAGAAGTAAATGCCTACTTCCTATTGTCATGAAAAGAAGCTGGAGCCAGGAGGATGGAGCTGACCCAAGAGCACTCATGAGTATATGCACTCGGCATTTGGCAGGTGAAAGTCTTTCTAAGTTTAAATTGGTGCCATCAGGCACAGTGAAACACCTATAGCCTCCCTTTGACATGCTTTGCTATGGCTCTCTTGGAAAACATACTAAAATATCATCTATTTTCTTCTTCATTGTCCGTAAGTAAATGGCAACATTTCTTTCTAAGGAAACTGAAAAAATGTAAATGAGGGATTTTATTCAGCCTGACACCAAAGTTATTTTACTTTATAAGAATTAGACATATGGAATATTTGAGATACATACCAAAGATATTCCTAAAATACATTTTTTTAAAAGTTCTGATGATTTTCCCATAACTAAACTCTCACAAAAGTCAGTATGGACGTGGTAGCAAAGGAAAAGAGAGAACAGCTGACCTGAGAGCACACCCGTTAAACTGTAGGGGTATGAATTGACATGGCCCTTCTGATAGGCAGTTTGGCCAGAGAAATCAAGAGCTTTAAAAATGTCAAATCATTTGAATCAATAATTAAACGAATAAGAATCTATTCTGAAAATATAATTAGAAAGCCAAAGATTCCTGAATAAAAAATTTCACTGAAGCTTTGTATATGAGAGTGATCACTTGAGAACAAATTAAATGCCTTACAATAGAAGAATGATTAGATAATTTATGATATACACAATAAAGTCATAGGGAGTGATTATAAGCATGTTTTTCAAGTCTAATGACTTGGGAAAACATTCCAGTTATAATATTAAGTGAAAAAGAAAACTACAAAGTTGTATATGCAATATATTTTAAATCACATTAAAATAATTCCTTGCATAAAAAAAAGGCAAGATGGAAATGTTATTTATCTCTGGGTGATGAACTTGTGGATGAGTTTGTTTTCCTGTTTATATGTGGAAAGGTGATAGGTGAGTTATTACCTGCTCTATACTACATGCTTTGTTTTTCTAGCATCAGAGAAAGAGGACAATACTTTAGAAATTGTCACCCATGGAAGATCCAAGAACAAAGATACCAAAAGAAATGCTATAAGACAAAAATGATCAGAAAGGGTGATCAAACAGAGCTTTTTTCCTCCCATCACCCTCATATTGGGAATGCAATAGAACCACACCAAGAACAGTGTGGAAATCCCAGAGCACAGGGGACCCAGGCCTCGTGATGAGGATAGGGGAAGAGAAAGGGCACACAGGTAGCACAGGGACACATCACATCACAGGAAGAAGCCTCCTGAGTAGCAGTCGGCACCAGAACAGTGGTGGGACCACGACTGCAGGGTGTGCCTAGATAGGTGGGCATGAAGGCAGCTTCATGAAACTGCCCCCACACCCTGGGTGAGCACAGCGGCCAAATTTTCCCAAGTTTAAAGGAGAAGGTAGCACTTAGCTGAGAGAAGGTCTGTGTTCTAGAAAGGGTCCCACAGCTGAGATAAGGGGAGCCCTGATTGGGGATGCAGGAGGACTGTCTTGCTATGGATTAGATGGGTAAGTGGGACATGAACTCACAGGTGGGCATGCCAGGTGGATGTGACTAAGGCAAGATGAGACAGATTACCTGGCAGATAATGCCAGCACAGACCCTTGCAGGCCTGGGCCAAGAAGAGCACCGCTTTCTGCCCTTGACTAAAGTTGTATTTGCATAAATCACTTGCTTTTAACCCCAGAGGGGAGAAGACGTAAGAGGGGCAAAAAAATCCTCACTGGGACTGGGTTGCAACCCAAGTGTCAAGAGTGAGTTATCTAGAAGAACGAGATTGGATTTTCACAAAATAGGGCTCAGAGACAGAAATTCAATTATGTTGTGGAAAATAAAGTTATATTTTATATACCCAAGCTTATGACATATGAAACATGCACTCGCCACATATATTTTCTGTGATTTTCAGATTTTTAGTAATGACCATATTTTGTATTTTAAAAGATTATTTAAAAGAAAAGCATAGCACCCACAAAAAGTTGCTCACGAGTCAAGGCCTTGAAGAAAATGGGGCATAAGGCTGATGGAAAGTCGCCCATGGTTTTGAGGATCATCTTGTTAGATGGCCAGAGCTTGTTTTGTGTCTCTAAGGGCCAGGATCCCCCTCTCAGAGAGAACCTGGAGTCTTGATCACACCTTCTGAGCTTCTGTCATTAAGATTCTGTATTAGTGTATGCAGCTGGGAGTAAATGTGAAAATTCTCCTTCCAGTTACTTCCTGTGCCCTATCACATCCCCTCTCTGCCCCCTCCCCCCAGCAAATCAATGTTGTTAAGCTCCCCTGTAGAAAGCCCCCTCTTTTATTTTCTAAACCAGGTTTTGTTCTCTGAAGCAATAGCAAACAACAGAACAAATCCACCCACAATGATGACCTCCAAATATTTGAAGAACATGTTGGTCTCCATGTTAGGGCGTCCTTGCTCCAGGCTAATCCAAGCCAGGTCCTCACAAGCTATTTCCCAAGCCTCTTGCTATGCTGCCCATGCTCCTTGGATGTTACACCTAGGATTCTCAAGGGTCACTTTAAAAAGGTAGTTCCTAGAACCAACACTGTGGCCCTGTGCTCTGGCCAGAAAGACTCACTCTAATTCTGCTAAGGCTACAAAGGGCATTAAGGAGGCATTTGTGTTCTTAGCTGCCCCTGCAGAATCTCTGCCTGAGTGTGAGACTCAAACCCCTCTAGAGCTTTGCCAAGTGAGTGACTGTTAGCCCAGGGCTCTCCTCTGCTGTCCTTGAGCACTGGCTGGAGGTACGGGCCACTGGGGACACAGGGCCACTGATGCCAATCACACACAGCCACCCAGGAGGCTTAGTCAGTGCTGTCACCTGCAGGGTCCTGGCAGTGAGTTCTGGAGAAAAGTCCATGAAGGACTATAGAACTCCATATTGCTCTGTTGGCCATAGCCCTCCCTAGCTCTGCTGTGGGAACACCCTTTTCTTACCCCCATTCCCTACTTTAGGCAGAAATATCTCCCTTCTTTCCTTCTTTTCTCCAAGGATCTTACCCAAGATGTTGGCATCTCCCATGGCTCTCCCTCCTCACTCTAGATCATCTGTACTTTATTACATCTTTGGGCCGTGTCCTCTCTCCAGGACTCCTCTTGGGGGAGATAACCCTCCCTGACATTAGGGGACTTTATCAAATTGCTAAACATCCCCCTTTTCCCCTCACAGACCCCATGGAGTGCTCAGATCACAATAGAAAGCACTCAACTCTGTTGCCAAACCCACAGCGCTCCAGGGCTGGCTGTGCCAGCCCCCTCACCTGGGTGCACGACTCATCCCCTCAGCTGCCTCCTCTTTCTGCTGCTGTTACCATGTTCCCAGCCGACTTTGGAGTATCTCCCCCACAGGCCCCCACCACCTCACCCCCAGCAGCATTGATTTGGCAGGTTTTTTTGGGGGCCAGCAATGTTTGTTTTTCCAGGGCTGATGTTTGCTGGGATTTTCTTGGAACCACAACAGAAATCATCCCACGTCCTTATGCAATTCCTCCGGGAGGCTCTGACAGATAAATAAAGCCCTCAGCCCTTCCATGGATCTACCTTTCCCAGCAGAGCATCTGGGTTTTTCCTGAAGCCTCCAGTCACCTGCTCACCTGCCAGGGCCTCTCTGGGGCAGCCATGAAGTCCCTTGTCCTAGTCCTTTGCCTTGCTCAGCTCTGGGGCTGCCACTCTGTCCCACTTGGCCTAGGTCTGGGTTATAAAGAACTAAACTGTGATGACCCAGAAACAGAGCAAGCGGCCCTGGTGGCTGTGGACTACATCAACAGCAACCTTCTTCAGGGCTACAAGCACACCCTGAACCAGATTGACAAAGTGAAGGTGTGGTCTCGGGTAAGTGAACCTGCTGTTTGTGAACTGAAAGAACCTGCTCCTGGAGCTTAACCGGGTGTCTCAAAAGATCACATCTCCCAGCACAAATGAAACCGAAGAGCAGTAAACTCTGATTTCTTCCTAGGAGGGAGGGAAGCAGCAGGCAGAGGGCATAAGAGGAGACATCATGTACGGTGCTGACAGGTCTCAAGGAGGGTGCTGGCGGTTGGGGAGGTGTGCAGGTGAAGAAAAGGATTTGAAAGACATTTTGAAGACCGCAGGTAAAAAGTGTGGCTTCCTGGGAAAACCAGGGTGCAAGAGACTGGATTCTAGTTGTCAAATTATCACCCACTGGGAATTAGTTATCTTTCTTTGCTTCTGTTTCTCTGGATGAAGACTGAGAGTGAGTGAACCTAGCATTTGAAAACTACCTACTCTGTGCTGGGCCTTTTCACATATATCATCTCCTTAGCCCTTTCTACCCCCCGGTCCCATGTGGTAGGTATTGTCCTTGTCTTACATAAGGGGAAACTAAGGACCTGACAAATTAGGGCATTTTTCTGTGCCCAAGGTCATATAATCAGTAAGCATCTGTCTGGTATTCAATTCCAGGTCTGTGTTCCATCCTCTACAAAAGTTGCCTCCCAGATCCCACATCCCAGAGAGAAATCTTGGCATGATGTGATGGACTTCCTCACATGGTAGACAGTAAACTACTGCAGTCTGAAGCCAATGACAATAAATATCAGGCTAGAAACTATGCCTCGGGGATCAGTTGAGAGATTTGGAGAGGTGGGGGAAAGGCATCTGTCTACTGACTATTTTGAAATTAGATTGTCTACCTAATGAAGAATAATTCTTTCAGCAAGTACAAATTACAAGCTTTCTGTGGGTTTTAGCAGCAATGTCAGGTGCTATAGGTGATATCAGGTTGAACCACATGAAATTGCCATTTTTGTATATTAAAAGCAGCTAAATATTGGCATTTTAATGGTTCAACTTAATACAAAGGAGAGAAAGACATAATTAATGCCCACAAGAGATTTATAATCTATTGTAGAAAGGAAAATAAGGTCAATATCAGGATGTCCAGGCTGACTAACTTATTTCTGATCTCCCAATGGGACACAATATCTAAACTCAGGGTTGTCCCAGGTGGGTTTTAGCAGTGCTACAACCATACGGAAGCACAGAGGAAACACTGATCATTTCAGGGGGACTAGCGTACAACATGCATATGCGAGGGAAAGGTAATGAACAGACATTGTGGTTTTCACTCAAGGCAGAGAGCTTGAGAGTTACTTTTTTAAGAAAAACTCAGGGGTGCTTTGCTCCTATTCCCTGCAGCTCTGAATGTTTTCAGGAAGCTAACGTGGACACATCTGCCAATCATAAAACACAGCTTCCTCCAAGAGAGAAGATTCTGAGGCTTCAAGTACTAGGGAGTCAGGCAGAACAGAAATGAAAGGCAACCAGAGTAGGTGGTAAGACAAAATACATGCTTGTACCTTCTTGATTTTCCAGGCTTTGAAGAAAGCCTACAGGAACAGGTGAACGCCACGTTGTTATACAAGCTCTCCTACCACTTCCTTCCCCACAGCTCCTTCTTCAAGGGGACACTAGCGACTTACACGCGGCTTCCTCGTGTCCGAGAGGGGCTTGCTTTTCCCCCTCACCACCAGCAGGGGGAAGTAGAGAGCAGCAACTTTGCATCCAGGCCTTGACAAGCCAAAGACAAAAGGCCAAGGACAAGGTTTCCTTTAGGAAGGAAAAGGAAATGGGGAAGGAAGGAAAGCAGATGATGAGAGGTAAAGGAGAAAGAAGTAGGGGGAGGTTTGGAGACAAGAGAGATGGTAAAATATTATCCTACAGCACCTTACTTTGCAGCTTAACTGAGAAAAATCCAAAGCTGACTTTTCCAAAGCACTGCTTGAAGGGTGAAATTTTTTAAGTTGGTCAGTATCAGCAGTCACTTTTAGTTTTTAACTAGCACTCAGAGGGATGACTATGGTTCCATCAACCTGTCCAAGCCCAGGACCCCTTCTTCCTGGCAAACACCATTGAGCACTTGCTCAGCTAACAAGAGGATGAGAAAAGCCCCGCCACTGTCTGTCCACAGGGCAGGGTAGAAGAGCTGGGTGGAGTTGCAGACTCACAGTAGGAATGACTTATCTCACCTCTCCAGCAGGGGGTGCGCTCAAGCCCTGTGGGGGCCTCACCCTTTGGCCCAATCAACAGAATCAGGGCAATAGGGTGCTCACCTCTTCATTCTATGTCTCCACAGCGGCCCATGGGAGAGGTGTTTGAGATTGAAATAGACACTCTGGAAACCGTCTGCCACGTACTGGACCCCACCCCTTCGGCAAACTGCTCCGTGAGGCAGCTGAGGCAGCATGTGAGTGGCACTCTTAGGGTGACTTCAGGTTGGGCCACGGCTAGTTCCACTGTGATTCTGCAAAAAGCAGGCTCATTTTATCCAGCTGCCCAGCCTGCCCTCATGGCCAGCCAGTGTGCTGTTTCAAAAACTGCCGTTTGCTGCCTCCTTCCCTGGGCCTGCTTTTTACAACAAATGTCTTTATTGCAGCTCTAGAAAATGTTATGTGTCCATATTACCCAGTTGTGATTTTGTGAGGCTCACCTTTGATAACCATGCCTGAGGGACCAACCCCTCCCCAGGTGAGAAGTGAAGGGCCAGCCCTTCTCTGAGGCCCTAACTTTGGGTTTATTTCTCTAGGCTGTGGAAGGAGACTGTGATTTCCGAGTGCTGAAACAGAACGGGCAGTTTTCCGTGTTGTCTGCAAAATGTGATTCCAGTCCAGGTAGAGATGATTCTTCTTCTTATTTTGACTTTGTAGAGAGAGTGAGGAAGGAGCCTGAATTATTTTCAATGTGAGTAATTCTAGCCACTTTGTTGGTGAGGAGAAGGAGAAGTCAAATGTCCTAGTATCTGGGATTATAAAACTGTTTTAAAGGGAGTTGAAATTGCCCCTTGATGAGAGGAGATCCTGCAAAAATGTCAGCTTGATGGGAGCCACCTTGATGGGAAAGTTTAGCAAGAAGCAGAGATAACACCTGAGGCCATTTAGATAATGCCTTGGTCCTTTCTAAATAAGTAGAGCAGGGGTGAACACTCGAGAAGTACAACTCCGATTGGTTTTTTTCTCTCTCTGCACAGATTCAGCCGAGGATGTGCGAAAAGTGTGCCCAAGCTGCCCTCTGCTGGCCCCACTTAACGACACCAAGGTGGTGCACGCTGTAGATGCAGCACTGGCCGCCTTCAACGCTCGTAATAATGGCTCCTATTTTCAGCTTGTGGAAGTTTCCCGGGCTCAACTTGTGGTAAGACGGAGACCTTTGGATAGGTTGGGCAATTTGCTGGCACCTCGGGAATGTACGAGGTGAGGGACGGAGAGGGAGCATGAGCAGCAGTGGGAAGGCCGGGAGGGTCGTGGAAGAAAAGGGAAAGAAAGGGTTCTTGGGGGGTAGGAGGACCCTGAGGGTCATGAGGACCCCAAGAACCCTCAGTGCCTCCCACAAGCTGAGCCACTTTAGCCTAAAACAGCCAGATGCAGCCTGACCCCAGTTCCTCAGTTCTAGTCAACACCATGGCTCACTGTTCAGTGGGTGGGAGTTCCCACATTACCCAGAAGCACTCAGTGTAAATTCATGGTTCTCCACATCTTTATCATCCATCACTACTGACCATCTGCAGCACTCTCGTAGTTGATACTTATAAAGACATAAGCCTACTTACACAGATAAGCATATAATGGCAGGATCCTAAAATGCCTTTTGATTTACTGAAAAAAAAAAAATCTAATTGAGCTGTGGGTAGTTTAGCATATTTGAATGTAACAAAATTCTAATATTTAAGAAAACTGATATTCTGGGTACCAGCCAAGGCATACTTGGAAATGCATTATATAGGTGATAATTCTATTAACCAGAATACTTGTGTGCTTCTCAGAACATTCCCAGACTATTCCAAATAACAGACATTTTATTATCATAAGTGTCCATATGCTCCATAAGAACTATAAGGAAGAAAAGCACAAGTATCTTCCATACTTTCATTTCTGTCTTTCATTTGACACTGCTGTATACAGTTAGTGGGAGATGTATTAATTAATCTCTTTGCTTTCCTGCTTTCCATCTTGGAGTAACCTGAACCTTGGGTCTCAAAGTGCAGCCCCAAGTGGGAAGGCAGGGGTAGAGATGGGGTGTGGGAGAGGGTTCCCAGCCAGGCCAGGGTAAGGTTGGCCTCTGGGTTCCTACTTTCTATTTGAAAACTCACTCTTCCCTGAACAATGGGCAGAGGATACCTGCATGTTTTTCAGGGGACACCCACCCCCAACCACATTATACAAACACACAGAACATGAGGCCACAATGACTGCCCTACGTAAGCCATTGAGAGCATATTTTCTGGCCACACAGTGTGGCCTACGCAGAGGGTGCTCCCTGAAGGGTGCAATGCCATGGCGTTGCTGCTTCCCTCCAGCCTCTCCTTCTCTGCCTTTTTCATGCTAAGTCATGTTGCCTCACAAGCATTTTCATTTATTCTCATCAGCCTCTTCCAGCTTCAACCTATGTGGAATTTGCAGTGGCTGCCACTGACTGTGTTGCTCAAGACGTCACAGACCCAGCCGTCTGTAACATGCTGGCGGAAAAGGTAAGCAGGCCAGGCCCTGGGGACAGCAAAGCTGGTTGTAGAACAGAGCACCCTTAGAGCAAGTTGGTATCTTGGGACTGTGGAAAAGAGGTAACAGGGCAAAATACCCACATCCTGGGGGTAGGGAGTGGGGGGCTGGGTCATGCCAAGCCTTCCTCTGGGGTGTCACCTCCTCCCTTTAAGAGCTGTCACCAAATCATCTCACGTGCTGGATGCCCCTGAAGATAGGAAAAAGACAAAGACGGTCTCCTAACTAAGGCAAGTCATGTCAGGCTGCTGGGAGTGCGAGGTGTGGATTTTCTAGATATACCTCTGGTATGTAATCATTCAAGTCCTTGAGCCAGTAATGCTCATTTCTAGGAATTTAGCCTAAAGAGATCAACAGAGATGTTTGACAGAAACACACACACACACACACACACACACACACACACACACACACACACACGGTGCCAAAAAATGTATACACATTTTAAGAAAGGAAAACTGTATGAAAATTGTAATACTCAATATATACCAATAACAAAAGAAAAATACAGGTCGCATTTGACTTCTGCAATTATGAGAGGTACTCAAAGTGCTTGCCGTAAGCATCCAGACACTTCTGATTATGCTGAACTATTCTGCTTGAGCAACGTTGACCAGTGTCCACTTGTATACATTTTTTGGACACCCCCCTGTATTATTGAACTGGCCAAAAAATAGTTAAAATGTAAAATTTTACTATAATTAAAAACAAACAAAAGTAGTAAAGTAATACGTTATAGACAATTTAAAAAATTAAAGATTTAAAGTTAAAGAAACAAAATTATCTGCATTTCTTCCTTTCTTATAACATTTTTATAATTTCTTTTTATACACAAATGGATTGTTTACTTAGTTGAGATTGTACTATTCATAATATGTAGGGTTTTTTTTGAGCATCTATGTCTTTAAGTATTGTTTGAGAATAACAATGGATTCATCAAATTATATTTGATTGTCTCAGTGGCGATTTAGGTTGTTTCCAATATTTTGCAGAAAAAAATAACACTTCAATACAAACCTTTAAACATAAGCCTTTGTCTAACAGACCTTCTGAAAGTTAAAAATTTTTCTTCTCTTCCTTTTTCATCCTCCTTAGATCTTACGCTTCCTTAAGTGCCTGGCTCATGTCTGGCCTCTGCTTAGAAACCCTCCCCAAGTACTTCAGACTACAAAATCCCTTCCGTCTCTGACTCCAATTGCATTCATTTATTCATTCATTAATTTATCAAATATCATTTGATGGCATATCAAGTATTTATACATGTATATGTACATCAAATATCGATTTCTTCTCTAATAATGTGATTGCTTACATAACAATTATGGCGAATGTCCTTTGGGTGCTTACTCTGTGTGGGCACTTTTTAAAGTACTTTACATGGATTATCACATTTCATCTTTACAATGCTATCCATGCTTTACCCTATGGGAAAGCTGAGGCACAGAGAGAGTCAGTAATTTGTCCAAACTTGCTCAGCTATTCCCTGGGTAATCTGGGATCCAATCCCAGCAGCTGTGGCTCTGGAGTTCATTAATTGCATTAACAATTATACATGTTGCCTCAGCTGGACTGTTCTAGGGGCTGGAGACAGAACAGTGAACAAAGCAAGTATGCCTCCTGGGCTGTGGAGCTTACTTAGAGCCTGGGTGCCCCATTTAGCTCTGGATCATAAAGGCCTTGAGCTGTTTCCTCATGGCTGTGTGTGGGTAACTTGCGTCTCTATCCTGTAAACTCCTGCAGGGCTGGGGCCCTATCTCCTCTGCCTTGCACCCCCAAGAAGCATGTAACTAGTACACAAGGTTTAGTCAGTAATGCCTTTAAACTGATGGGTGGGAGGTAGCAGGAAGAGATATGAGTACCAGGAGGCCATGTTTTGCTTTGGGCTCTGTCACTGTGCAACACAGGGGAGGTTTCTTTTTTATTATTATTAGTTTCAGGTGTACAAAACAATGCAGTAGTTATC